TTAACATTGCATCATTTGTTTCACCCCATTTTTAATGGAATATTAGTTACATGTTAACAATAATTATTGCACAAATTAGGAGTATAGTATTGAAAGGGAAATAGAATTTGTATCTTAAAAAAAAACATACACGAAGAGAATTTACTCTTAGAATGTACCCTGAAAATCGTGATAATCGTGGGGTATTTGAAGAATTTTATAAGAATGTCTCTGATTATAATATTTATCACAATAAAAAAAAATATGTACATAATGAAATTAATCGAATATATTTTTTATATCTTATTGTGGTAGATATTAATATATATTGTACGATTACCATGATTTTCAGAGTAAATTTTAAGAGAAAATTCTTTCTGTGTATAAAAATTATACGTCTACACCCATACGCTTGTTAAGTTAATGCAATGTAAAAATTGTATAAATAAAAGAAAAACAGGAGCGAAGTGAAATAGAGTGTAACGAGTATGCAGGTAGTAAATAAATAGTTATAGAGAGTATAGACGAACAGTAAGTAGATAATGCATGCATTTATCCTAGATTTTTTTCCTAGTTGTTTATGTGATTTTATAAACTTTCTCTAAAATGAAGATCTCTTCAAAAGACTGCCACTATTCTCGAGGAAAGGTCGAATCGTTGCTATTACGTAGAGAAATTCGCTACGCATGTATTATTACACTTTCTCAAATTCGCAGTTTCATTTCCGCAAAACTACATGTTAACATATAATCTTGGAAAAAAGATTAAATTTACAGTGACCATGCAATTATATATTGCGATTAAATAAATATAAATAGAAATATATATTCAACTTTATAATCCAAAACCACTACTTGTTTCCGGTTAAAAAAAATCTGTGTTTTCATAAAATGTAATTTTGAACAAACTAGTGCCACGCCAACAATTATTTTTTCATGTTATACAAGTTTGATCCTAAAAAAACGTGAAATGTAGCCAAGTAGAAAAAAAAATAACCACAGGCTATTTTGTTAAATAAATCTCTACAATTATCTAAATCTTAGTCTATTAAATATTATCAAATATTTAATATAAATTTCAAATTTAAAAAATGATTAGCTGCGTAATTCTATAAATAAAAAAAAAGAAATTCTAGGTTCTCATAAAAATATAATTCTTTTAACTGTAATTACTTCAATAATATATGATTCGTGGTATTTTACGCCACACGAATGCGAATGCAGAGGATTCTAACTATATAATAATGTACATTGTTGTTTGGCAATCGTTTCCTTCAGGGAGCACAGGCTAATACATTCTTGGCCTCTGAATGATGCGTTAGACTTTCCCAATCTCGCAATTTCGCTCGCGATGTTGCGAGGTGTTTCTGATGACTACCATCCGTGGAGGATCATCATAAGAGCGTCAGCAGATGGGCGTCATGAATCAGATTGCATTGAGAAAAGGCGTCACTTCTCTTGGAAACGAGCCGCGCAGGGAAGGTCATTTTTCTGATTGTGAGTGCATGTAATATTTCTCAACTCAACGTCGATGCTCCGAATTCCTTGGTCACTGTTCCGTGTCGCGTGCACGAGAAATAACGAAAACGAAAGAAAAAAAATAAATAAAAACCCTGGTGCGCGTTTATACAACGAAATGGAAAGCGCGGAGGATCTGATATTTCTTTCGAAACAGATCGACTATGAATTAATGTCTGATACAAATCGTGTATCTTGAATTATTTCGCAAGCGTGTATTGTATCGTGACAGATGTAGCATTTACTTTTATCACGTATACACTTACAATTAGCTTTCCATCTAACGATAAGAAATATCTCCGCATATCTTTTACATATCCTTTTCTCTCTCTTTTTTTCTTACAAAATTTACTATTACTTTTTCAGATTATATTTATCATGGAATTGTTTAATGATCGCGTCGTTATGCAGTTTACTTTGTCGTGATTTATATTTATAGTTAACATTCATTTCATTTTATTCCTTTTCGCGTTCAATTTTTATTACGATCGTCTCTTACAATGCACATTGGCTGTATATTTTATGTATGCATTTGGCATCTCAAGGTATGTGTGAATTACTTCTCCATATAGCTATGAAAAGAGGCAACAGCACGTACTTTATGAAATATTATTTGCGATATTGATTTCGCAAAGTGAAGAAATCTCTCGCATGAAAAGATCAACGCTCGGGGATGCGTTTGGCATTTTTATATATATATATACTTTTTATATTATTATCATCCGGTGGGTTCATCCAACTCTCGTATCGCGCGAAAATTCCTCGAGGTCCACGTATCTACCTGCCGTTTTACGAGCTAACTCATTAAAACGATCTAAACGCGTGGAAGGTCGTTCGTTGCTACCAATGCAGGGCTCTTAACGTCGTCCAAATTCCTCTACGACATTTAATGCCATCTCGAAATGCATTTAAGATAAATATAAAGATGCGAGAAAGAGAAAGGTCGAGACACTTCAGGCCGGACTACGTTCAGGACCGCATGACGTAGGGACTATTTTTGGGATCGCAGGTTCGAATGTAACGGCGGATATTAGGAGGACGCGACTGTTTCACTTTCTATAAGTATTGGAATTTTCGTATGCGAGTCTTCGAAGGGGCAAAAGAGTTGTTTCGACCTTTTCGAGATGCCTCGCGCGCGCGAGATTTCATTGGAGTCACGTGCGATTACGAGAAACTTTCACGCGAATTGATATTTCGTTGCGGCTATTCCTCAATACTACTGATTCAATTTGAGAAAAAACAATGATTTATTCGGTCTCAATGTCGGATATAAATATCTTTTTTAACATCACTTCCTTTTAGATAGAGAAATATCAAATCTTTCTATTAACAGCGCATGATTAGACATTATTTTAATAAGAAGCTACATTTATTTTAATTTTTTTTAATGTGTCGTGATAAATTATATGCGTCAACATTAAAAAAATATGTTGTGAATAAAATTAATCTCTCTTTATTTCTAAACCATCCTCTTGAAACAAATTTTAATAGATTTTTTGAATCTAGAAAACAACCGAGACCTCTAATCTTGAAACAAGAAAAGATACGACATATGATAGTTTCTGCGGAAGAATAATCAGTTTGATTTGCATCAATTGTTGTAAAAAATGAAGTGCTCCAAGAAAATCTGTATAACTACATAAAAACCTACCAAATTGTGCGGGAAGATTCGCGAGTCCTTAAAGCATAATAGCACCGCGCATTCGCATTCATATTCGAGAATATATGCGTTTCTAATGACGCGTTCCTTGCATATCCATGCATAACGCAGCACAATTGTTTTGACAATCGTACATTTGCGAGCTCGCGATGTTCGCGTGCGTCGACGATCAGCATAACAATGGCGAACAAAGGCAAAAGATTGCGAACTCGGCATTAACAAATCGCGAGAGAATGCCTGTTCGATGCGATATATATACACGACAGCTCGCCTTCTATCTTCTACGTCCATTAGACCCGACTATGGACCACCGGCTATTGGCAACTGTATCGCAATTCTATTGTATCGCGTATCGCGCTGCTACTTTTAGAATTACACGCGGGCAAATATCAGGACCCGTTCGTGACCACCGACCATTATTTACGCGAACCAGGTTTCGTTTCAAGTATCCGCGGTTGCAAATGAGAATATCTCTTCGAGTGCTGGTATAGTTACGGTCGCGTTAGCGCGCAGACAATCGGAGAAACAAATAAGGCTGTGCTCCAATAATAAGGCGTGTATTTTGCAACAAGAGATTACTCGGTTCGCTCAATTCTGTCCCGCATCGTTTCCTAATGATAGAGTTTCTTGCGGCTTATGTGGAATCGAGTTTGTCTTATTAACGATAATGTTCAAACAGAGTTTTTAAGTAGTTAACGATTGACAATAAGGAAATTGCGAGCGAAGCTAAACTTTATATGAAATAAATAATGAGTACATCTACATAGAGAGAATTTTCTCTTAAAATTTATCCTGAAAATCGTGGTAATCATAAGATAATTGGTATTGGAAGAATTTTATAAGAGTTTCTCTAATTAATATTTTTATCACAATAAAAAATATTAATATCTACCACAATAGAATGTAAAATATGTTCAATGAATTTTACCTATATACATATTAATATTTTTTATTGTAAATATTAATCAGAGAAACTCTTATAAAATTCTTCCAATATTAGATTATCCCACGATAATCATGATTTTCAGGGTAAATTCTAAGAGAAAATTTTCTCCGTATTTTTTTTTAAACATAATTTCTCAATTAATTTCAAGCAGTCTCTATTTTATAATAGAATTTTTATGTAATATCAAATGCCGTAAATGATGCCTTATCCTATCGATATGTTCATTGAAAAAAGTCAGCCAAACTGTCTTGAGAATCCGTCATTAAAGTATAATGAGATAGAAAGTAGGACTTGCATAAGTATGAGCAATACGTAGGTAGCATCTGCCGAGTGAATTTTAAGATATTCCAATTTGAATTCCGTGTATGCCTGATGTAATTTAGAAATTAATATTCTGTTATAATTTTTAAATCTATCATTTTTTAACATACCACTTTAGTTTATAATGCCAAATATTTACAGATCGACAAGTGTGAAGAGAAATTTACATGTATTCTTGAATTTAAAGATCTCATTAGCAAATTAACATATGGATTCGCGATGAAAACAAATCCGTTGAATTTAGATAGCTTATCAAACATTTTTCTAAAAGTATCCAAGAGTTTACAAAAAAAATTCTTAATCCAACGATTAATCAATTTTTCGAAGCAAAGGCATGAAACTTGGAACAGCCGCAACTCTGTCATCAGGCTCATCATTCTCATATCCTCTCCGAGTAATATCTTTCACATTCACCAAGAAGCGTACCCAAGAAAGGCTCGAGAGAAGATCGTTAATGTCAGCGCGCTCTGACAAGCGAAACGCGAAGCGAGAAAGGTGTTTAAAGCATTGTCGTCGTGTTTGAAACATCGCTAAACTCCCTCGAGGAATACGAGGAATATTAATTTGATGAACTCACCCTCTTGGCGACTGACGACGATGAGCGCGCAGGTCAGCAGCAGACGTAGGAGTAGGACCTGGCCGCGCGAAGCCGCTCCTCCATCTCGGATCCTCGACATGTCTCCCCTGGCTTTAGGTCACCGCCGATGTTGGTCCCGATGAAGTCGCACGCGCCGGAGGTCCTTGGCCAGGGTCCTCAGCTCATCATCGACGCGCGATCGACCGATCGGTCCCCCATTCACGTCCGCGGATCGCACAGCTTCAGTAGACGCCAACTGTCAACCTTGCCGTGTTAATTGACAAGTACCATCGCTGCGAAAAACGTGGTGCGCGTTCGTCCACGATCAAGGCGCGCTTGTCACTGGCGAACGCGCGAACGGATAGAAAGCAAAATCTCCCACTTTCACTCGAGGCGGAGCTGGCACGTCGAGGCCGCCAGGATCCACCGTCCCTTCCACGACGACCACTTTGCCATGGATCTCTTTCCTCCTCTTCCCTCTCCGTCTCTTGTCTCGCGATCGACGGATCTTACCCGTGCGTTTTGGCGCTCGTGAAAATGATGATCGGGGACAGGGAGGAGCCGATGGGAAAAGGGGACGACGATGGATCCCAATGACAATAGCTGCGGTTCTCGTCGTCCTCACGAGAATCATGCAAGTCTTGCGCATCCTGTTTCACAGTAATGATATATGAAATGTTTTTAGAGTCAGAGTACCTGAAGTGTTCTCGGTTATTTAAAAATATCTTTTATGTTGAGAGAACTTCTGAATTTATAATGAAGATACATTTCGTGTTTGCACAAATCGTGCTATCTTTAAGATAAAAAAAGAAAAGATAGTTTCATAATTAAAGAAGATTCTTATAAAAAAATCTAAGACATAGATTTTATTATTATATAATTATAGAGACAATTCTATAATATAATCTGCAATATCGATTAGATTACGAGAAGGCAATAAGAGATACGGCTCACCTATGCCGAAGAATCGGATTTCAGGATCTCTCACACTTCCTCGACCTCCAGGCAGGCCTTCGCAAAAATTTCCTCTTCCAAGTCCATCCTGTTATCCTACCCCGTTCGTTAACCCATACCGGTTGCTGATGACCTTTACCAGTCCGCCCATAACATCGAATATAGATTGATTCATATCCGGAGAGACGCAAAAAGAACAGGATCAGGTCGCAAGGTCGGGAGAAAACGATATCACGTGATGTAATTTAATCGATGATGATTCCGATATACTATATTTCACTGATGACGTATCCTCGATAACGCATTTCAGGATCTGAAAAATAGTATTTTTATTTTATTACAAATTTGTAAAAAATTATTTCATTCCTGTAACTTTCCTAAGATATATTATCATTTAGCTTAGAATTTTATATCTTATTGTTAGTAATTGCACAATTTAAGATTTAAAATATTATTTAAAAAAAATAAAAAATTAGTGTTCTTCGTTTTTACTACAAAGAGAATATCTATAAAATTGAAGAAATTTTTAATCAACAAATGTTAAAAAAAAAAAAAAACAGAAATTGTTTTTATGTAAAGAATGTGTGAATAATTACTTTTTAATATTTTATATCTTGGAAAGCAACTTTATTTTCAACAATAAGAAGATGAGGAGTGCTCTATAATAATTTCCACGAAGATGTAAGCTAGATGTACAAATTTCGTAAGCATTCGTGAGAATTTCAGAGTGAGAATGTGCTCTCAATTGTTTCGTACATATATTGACGTAACACTCTCTAGCTTCGACCACGGAGTCCTCCACCAGGTGTTTACTTACCAATTTATATTCTTACCGAAGTAGCAGGAAGTGCAATGCGCCGTTGTGTATCGTAACGGTATAGCAAGGAAGACATACAAATATTTGCATGGCACTCTCTTATTAAGCAGCGACACCCTTATTGATAGCTGTTTCAATAAATTTTCGTGAATGTATCAAAATCTTGTATTATTTACAAATTTTTATATATGGATTATAAAACATGTAATTTTGAATTTAACATATATATATGTAATTAAGATATATATATATATATATATATATATATATATATATGTGTGTGTGTGTGTAATTAAGATTAAAAAAAAAGAATATATATAATATTATATATAAGAAGTTAATGACCAATTTAAAACATTAAAAAAATTAATATATAAACACGCACACACACTATTTAACTATTTATTATCTAAATATATTAGAGATAAAAATATAATTCTCTTTGTTAATGACTCTTAATGAACAATATATTTCCCCAGAAAAGATATTATTTATTAAGATAAAATGTCATTATTTCGGCTGTAAAAAATTTTATGTATAATATTCTTACTTCAATTATTTTCCATCAATTTTATGTGATTAAAATATCAATGCTCATATAATTTCTACTATTGAAATCGTCATTTTATATATACCCAACATATATTAAATTCTTCAATATTACATTCTAACATTCAATTCAGCATTGAAATCACCGAGTTACCGCGCTCGCTCATCAAAAAACACTTATATATCAGACGCACTTGATCGCTTCAGTCTCTACATCTAGAACACATTGCAAGAACTAAGATGAACGGAGTTTATCATCTCATGGTCAACATGTTATATCCTACAATAAATTTTAAATATTAGTAAACCTAAAAATATTAATGTTAGCAAACCACAAAAAGTATATTTAAAAAAACAGTATTGTTGTATAATGCAAGTTTTTAAATTGGATAAATTGAAACAAAATCCTTATTATCGACTGATTGAGCTTTTAAAAGAACAGAATAAAATTTGACTCACTGATTCTCTTCCTCTTTTCTTAATTATGAATTGTAAACTATAAATTTATTTTATTAATATTCATCTTTATATTATTAAAAAATAATTTGACAAACATCTAATATGGTTATATAAGAGTATTTTAGATTTTATGGCAATTTGAAAATTGAAGGATAATCGAGAAAACCACAGGATTACTGGAATGACAAAATAATTTGTTTAATGATAAAATAGTAATATTTTTGTAATAATTTTATACTTATTTTATACAATAACTGTTATTAGAAAATCAGTGTTTCTTTATCCAATGTTCTTAATTTTTTGTGTCGATTTAAACATAAGATGTTAGACGAGTATATAGAGAATCCACTCATTGCATTGTTATGTAAAATAATTATGTTACATAGTATCTCACCGATATTCATTTTCAGTGAAGTCTTATTTAATATTGTTCAACAATAATATATATGTGCTTACATTATATTATCTCACAATGCAATACAGTTTTAATTGTAGAATTGGCATTCATTAATTTTATTGAATCCTATACAGGCAATAAAATCTTGTGTAAAGTTCAATTTAACTACACCTATAAATTCATTCATTTTGTGTTACTGTAACATCATATTTCGATGTAGACCATTCTTCAACTGAAACAAAGACAAATATTTAGATCGGGGAAACATTTACATTTTATCTATCAAGACAAAATGTAAAATATTGCACCCATCTTCTTATAAATTAATACTTACTTTGTAGTTGGTCTTCTCGATGGTTCCGAAGCAGTCGGAGGTGGTGGAGGACCTCTGCGTGCTAGCTCTTCTAGATAACCCATTAATAACCGAGTCCGTTCGGTAGCGGCAGCTTCGAGTACGAGAAATCTTCGATCTTTTCTAAGAATTTCCTCGATTTCTGCTAGATGCGAGCTATTTTCTTGAACTTTTTTGTACGTTTTATCAGTGATTAGTTTCGTTTCCTAAAATCACATTTTTTTTAGCAAGAACTATGTCAAAATATTTTAATATATATATAGCAAATATTATAAACGCACCTGTAGAAGTTCTCTAAAATCAGCTTTGGCAGCAACAAGTTTGTCCTTAATATACTCCTTAAACTCCTTCTCGCATTTCTAAAAAAATAAAAATGTATGCATATAGGAGTAATAAGTAATAATGAATTATAAGTAAATAACACAAATTCTAAAGTATTTACTATATTTACTATATTTACTATATTTTATATATTTTATATATTTATATATTATATAATGAATTATTACGTACCCGGTCACTGGAAGAAAATTTCAAATATCTAGGATCATCCTTTAACAATTTCTTAATGTCCTTCCAGGATGCCGTTAATTCAGTTGATGCGCCTACCTCGTCGAGCAATTCTCGAAATTTGTCACGTTTTTTGCGGCCTAATTGCTCGATGTGTTCATTAAACAATCGTTCTTTCTCCTCACGATCTAAACTTTCAGCAAGCTCCCATCTATGATCTTTTCTAAGTTGTCGTTTTGCTTCTCTCCATGCCAGGTCACCATTTCTTACCTAATTTAAATAAATATTCAACATTATATAATCAGAAGTATCAATAGCTATCATCAAAAACATTATGCAATTAAAAATAATACCAAGTCGGCGAGAAGAGCACTAAAATGTTGAACCGCCTCTGTGTGACGGTGATGCTGTCTCTCTTTATCTCTATCACGAAGATGCGTAGCGAGGGTCCTTTGCACTTCTCGTTCTCTTTCTCGAAGACTGGCTTCCGCCCGTCGTTCACGGTCTCTTTTTTGTTTCTCACGATCCTCCTCTGAATCAGAATGATCATCCCCCTCTTCCTTCTGAATCAAGAAAAAGCTTATTTTACAAAAAGATGAAAAAATTACGGTGTTGAAAATGTAAAAAAAAAAATTTTTTAATATAAAAGAAAATATAGTATTATTAATTATTCTTACATCGTTCTCTTTTTTTGCACTTTTCTCGTCATTTTCTTCAATTTCCCCGATCTCTTTCTCCATCACCGTCTCCTTCTTCTCCTTTCCATTTTCCTCCGAAGGTGCTTCGCTCTTTCGTTGCTTTTTTCCTTTGTATTATCCTTGTCAATTCTGTCTTTATTAGACTTCGTCTCTTTACCTTTGTCCGAATCCTTACGGTCCCTATCCTTCTTCTCCGTCTTGTGATCTTTTTCTCTGTGTCGATGATCTTTGTCTTTCTCCTTCTCCTTTTTCCGCTCATCCTTCAGTATGCGAACATAATCTCTAAACCAATCTTCCCGCGTGCTCGCCGACTCTACGACTCTGTATCTCCAATCCGATTCCAATTTTTCTTACAATCGCTCCAATGCGAATGCCTGTCGATGTCTTTGTGCTCACGTAGCATCGCAAAGAATTCCTTTTTCACCTGAAACGCATTTAACATAAGAGTTTTCATCGCTGAAAAATCATTACTGCTTGCTTATATACTATTAAACAATTCTTTTGGTTTTAAAATCAGATTTTCTTGGCTCTCTTTATATCATGCACGCTTTAATAGTATTTCCAACCAATTATTACACGTTCAGCCACATTACAATCACTTTTATAAATATTTATAATATAATGATTTGTAATGTGGATCAAACTATTTCAACTTGCAAACCTTTTTTAATTGATTTTCAAACTATATTTCGTTAGGGGTAGAGAAGAAATAGTCATTCATGTTCATTTGTATCAGGAAGTATCACAACGTTAAGGGCTCTATTTTTTGTCAAATTTTTTTTACTTTAATGTACTAAGCTGGTTCATTGTAGCTGAAAAAAATTATTGACTTATTATTCCTGCAAAGATGATTATCATGTATTATGTATAATCAGTCATCATTAAATATATAGTATTAATTCTATGTTATATCAAATAATACAAAATTTATTAAAATTTTAATTTTTAAGAAAAACTGTCCATTAAATTATTTACACAATATACTCATATTTAATGATGACTAGATGTGTAAAGTAAGTAAATGTTTGACTGCCGTCCTTGCTGAAACGAAAAAATGTGGTTAGTGCATTATTATTATGTTATTAACTCCGAAAACATTAGAAGCTCGCAGCCGTCCAAATTACGAAACGAGTTTCTATCTAATTTTTTTTTTCTCCTATTTACTATACTCTAAACTCTAAAATATCTTTCGAAGAACCCATAATTTTATTTTAACGTAATATGTTTCATATAATACGTCGCATCGTTTACAAAAATTGTAACGCATTTTTTTAATGGTATGTTTCTTTAATAAAAAATAATTATAATTCTTTTAAATTAAATTACTAAAAAACGTTATCTTATTAAAATAAAGTACACTCACTCCTAAGCCTGGATACTTATAAATCATAATACTGAAAATATTATATAATCGAGTAAAATTAAATATAACAGATAGATTTGTGAATTGTCTATGCAAACGTAAATCCAAAAATTATTCCATAATATAACTTTCTTTCCGATCCCCATTGCGTAATTTGTAAACGACCAAAACGAAATATTTTGTGCAATAGCTATAATCTTTTGTTCTTAAAAAAAGTTTATATATTATTCAAGAAATGATAATCAAAAAATGATTATAGCTCAGACGTTGGCACATTTTCGTCTCAGATTGCCATAACATTCATTACTCGGATCCTGATCCTATGAAGAATTTCGAGGCACTGAAAAAATTGTGCCATAACTGTTTAAACTTGTTTCTTTATCCGATTAAAATTATAAATATCCACGTCTATTAATTTAGAACAAAAATGGTCAAGATCCTCAAAAGAGTATAAATCAAATATTTTAAAGAAAAATGTATACTCATTTTGCCAATCTAATTTGTACTTGCACATTATAATTTTGTACTACAACTTATTGCAATCCTCTAAATAATAAAATTATAATTTTTTTTTTGTATATCGCTAACAACAAGAATCTTTGAAAGAATCTTAAAATTGACTTAATATATATATATATTTTTTTGAAAGCTGTATATAAAAGTTCAAACGTATATGAAAGTTTAAACATATTTTATATATAAAATTTTGTATATCATGTATTGACATAAGAACAATAGAAAAATATGATTTTAACATAAAAATGTGCATTTCTTTTTATGAATGCATATTTAGTCTAATCATCTATATACATAAATTAATTTTTTATTTAATATGCAATAATAATGTGCAAAAGAAGTATATAAAAAATTAAAAAATAAAATAAATAATATATGTACACAATATAAATTTCTTATGTTGATTTGTTTTTATGTCCATACATTTAATAATATAAATCTGTGGTAGCATTAGAGAATAGATTTTACAAATCGGAGTATGCTCTGAGAAACTGTTCTCTGTGGAAGATATACTAATGCTACCTCGGGCGTGTATTGCCTTTTGTTTAATTTTCCATAATTAAATGATGAAGTTACGTGAAATTTCTCAAAGTTTTGGACTCTGGGGAAAAAGTTAATCTTTTGAAGAACGAAGAAACGAGGATTACGAGTAATATACAAATACGAGTTCGTTCATTCTCATGACTGCTTTGGAGTAAAGAATGCGGCGCGCGAGGGTGTGCCAACAGTGACCCGCAGTGTAGGTGGGAATGGTAGATGACATCATCCATGCCACCAACCAGCTTCAGAACCAAGCCACTCCACATACGGAACCTGTCCTGCCTGCCTCCTGACTGAAGTGGAGAGTTCAGAACACATAAGTATATAAAGGAACCGTGACATACTAAGATTTTATTCTCTACATCTCCCATCTTAGAGCTACAAAACTTTTTCGTATTCTATCGAGCAAATCTACTGGAGTAGAGAATTATTATTAGAGAGAAATATATAAATATATATAGATCTCCTGGTATATGTGTTCTTCAGCCATATTATTATTTTAGGTATTTGTATTGTATCTTACAAGTGGAACAAAATAATAACATACCTATGAAACCTGAAAGAAATTTATCAATTATCGCTGTAAACATAAACTTCATTAAACATTATCAAATGTATCCTCTCCTATCTAAAGTTAAAAAACGCTTTTCTATTCTTAATTTGATTTTATGCCATCGCGCATTGCAAAGCTTCGCTTGATAAGGGGAAAATTCTTGGATTTAATTAATCAAAATAATATTATTGTTTTTAAACATAGAAGCAGATACTGAATAAATAATATTTAACCCATATGGAACTTATCGCAAATGTAGTATATACACTACATTTACACGCTGCTTCGTCGAGAAGATTTATGGAGTAATTAAATGAACGACATCGGCCTGGAATGGAAGGTAAAGAGTTTGGGCAGGATTTAAAATTAGAAAATGCGGTTTGTGTGTGACGATGCTCGTTTAAAGTACAAAGAATTTAGGCACACTTTAGTAAATATATGTTCATATAAAATTATAACTCATTTAAATAAGATAACTTTAATAATATAATTACAAAATATATAAGATAGAACAAATATTCTTGATAATCTCTTCAATCTTTAAGATAAGCAATATGTATGAAAATTAGTATATATAATACTATCTGAAATCTAATACAAAATGATAGAAATAAAAAGTCTAATGATAAAAGTTGGTATTAAAATTTAAAGCATAATTATAAGATAATCTCGCTTTTATATTATTACAAAATTATGACTCTATTTATGAGAAATTATAAAATGTACCTAAATCCTCTTGTTAAATATATACATATTTGGACGGAATCTTAGGAAGGAATATGTCGCTAGAATATTTATCTTATCATATCAAATGTTGAAAGTTTGAATAAATTAATTATAATGTCCTGAAAAATATCTTTTGCATTGCCATACAATGCGCGCATTTAATGATATTAATAAAATAAAAATACCTGTTCTCGTTTGGCTGTTTTTTCCTCTTTCTCCTTTTTTCGCACTTCCAGAAGATATTCGTTGAAAAGGCTTTCTCGTTCACGCATCTTTTCTACATTCTTAAATCGTTCATCCCTTCCGTGTTTTTGAGCAAAATCACTAAATGATGATCTATAAAACAGTATCAGAAAAATTTATAAGATAAAATTTTTTTGTGTGCAAGAAAATATCAGCATAAAATACGTTCTCTGTATATACATACTTTCCATGAAGTCCAGCCTCTTCTAAAAGCTTCTGAAATTGTTCTTTTCGTTCTTTCATTTTATTCCTCTTCTCCCGCCTTTCTTCTTCAGCTCTCTCCTTCACATACTTTTCAAAGACCTGTTTCCTTTCCTTGGATGTTAGAAGTAAGTAACGTGGATCAATACTATTTTATGAAGTTCTTTTCCCAAGTACTAAACGCAGATACCTAGAAACAGAATAGATGCAGTTACACTGTACAAGGTATTACAGTATAAATAATGGTATATAATAATTTACATCTTTCTCTGCAAGCATATCTCTGAATGATTTGATCCTGGTCTCCAACGGAACTATGGCTCTCTCCCTTGCTGCTCTCACCTCGGCCTCGATGGCAGCTTCCTTACCGATGTCGATGGTCTTCTTCTCTTCCTTCTCTCCTTCTTCTTTATAGGGGTAGCTAAAAAAAGTAATATAAAATTTTAATTTAAAAAATACAGCAATTGTCATATTTAGTGTTGAACAATATCATACTTTGATATCGTCATGCTTTATTTTTTAGCTTTTTTTTTTAGATGGTGTAGGTTGATCGTCATCACTGCTTTCACTAGTATCCCGATTGACGTGCTGGCTTCGTGGTACCGACCGCATCTGGTGGAGTTGATATCATCTTATCCACATCCTGACGGCCAATAAGATCGTCTGGCCTTTCCCAGACTGATATTCGCGAAGAAGGATTATAGAAAAATACTCGTCCGTCTCCCGTCCAAACGACGCACCTTCACACAATATACTGTTTTATTTTCATTTTCATTCTATATGAATATATATAAGTATGCAATAATATGAAAAAATAAAGCTGAATGAAATACCAGGGAGTTCCAGGCACTGGTGTACTAGAAATAGGTCTAGACTTGTCTTGAGGTTTCGCAGGTTCCTTTGCGACGTTTTCTTCCTTCTTAGGCTTAGCGCTATCCGCATCTTTTGTACTATCTTTGGTTTCATGCGCGTTCTCTTGTGGCTTCTCTGGCTTATTAGGCTCGGCCACGGCACTGTTATTGGTAACAGTAGTGGTTGTAACGACAGTACTTGTAGGAATAGTATTTGGTTCCTCATTTTCTGCCGTAATGCCAATTTTGCATCTATTTGGATATACATCAAAATTTAAGATTTGTGTTACAAAATTATTATATCAAATTATATTTTAAAAAATTATATTTAAAAAATTATATTATAAAATTTTTTATGCAAAAGAGTCACTGCAAATATTATATATCTTTACTAATTGCAATAATCCATTTGTAAACATATATATTTACTAAATATACAGATTTTAATATACAAATTACTAAAAAAATTAATAAAAAAATTATTATGAACACATACATTTACTAATTGCAATATTCTACTTATAAACATATATATTTACTAAATATAGATAAAAAAATTACACATACTTTCTAAATCCTTTAAAGGTTGTGGCTTTTCCCATACTGACTCTCCTGCTTTACTGTTGTAGTAATACAATCTGCCATCAGGTGCACGATGCTCAGTCCAAACCATTGCAGCAGCAACTAATTCAGAATCAAGTTGTGCAAGTATAGCAGGATCTTCAGCAGTTACTTGAGGTGCCATTACACCGTGGGGCATTTGTGGCATACCTAAAAGAAATGTATCACTTTAAATTGTAACAATATTTCCTTTTTGTAATAATAGTTATTATATATTCTTCTTCTTTTTACCCCAATTTGCTTGCGGTGGTCCATAACCGCCAAAGGGCTGGAAACCCGGTGGTGGCATTCCAAAAGGTGCTGCTCCGAACTGCGTGGCAATCGGACCGCCAAACTGATTTGGCATTCTATGTTGCATAGGTATCATATTTGGCGGCGGCTGCATCATGTTCGTGGTTACAGTCGGTGTATTTATTGGTGGCGTGTTAGTAACCGTCGCGGGTGCTGTGCCTAATATTTAAAAAAATGTTTTTCACTTAAAATATCATATTTTCATAAATATGATTTTATCTAGCAAAAAGAAAAGCATATGCAGCATCAAGAATGTTTTAAAAATTAAATAATATTAATCTTTTATGAGACTTATTAATTACCATTAGATTGATTTGTTTCAGATGCTTGATTATTGACATCTGATGTATCGTTCAATGTAGAGGGGCCCGGTGGGGTGGTACCAGGAGGTGCTGTACTTAACTGATTGAGTGCATCTGCATTACTAGAAGATGATTGTTCACCTTGAGAAATTCTATTTTCACTAATCTGATTGGTGTACTACTTGATGAAGTAGGTGTGGTAGAACGTGCTGTCGCTTGTTTCGATGCCCATGTACTAAACTGCTCTAACTGCAAAATCAAAATATATATATATATATATATATTTTTTTTTAATTAAGTTAAATTAAATTTATTCAATATTAAATCTCTCATAAGAAAAGAAAATAAATTTTTACTTTCTAATATTCACATATTCTTATAATTCTTCTATAATAGCAAAGAAAATTTGATACATAAACATTAATTACAATTAATAGGATAATATTTATTTATATATGTGTATATGGTACATATATTTATGTACATATCTTTAAATATTTGATTATTGAAATAGATAAACTTACTATTGGCAGCTTTGTTATTGATAAACAGTTCTTTGGTGAAAAGAACTGCCTCTTAAATATGTATTTACCTGATCTTGTACCATGACCTTCACATTTGGTCCCTCTGGTTTAGTCCATGTAGTATCTCTCGTACGAATATTGTAATAATACGACTTGCCGTCAGCCGCTTTTGTCTCTACCCACACTTCTCCATTGAGATCTAGACCTGGAATGTTTGCTTGCTGCTGTGATTGCTGTTGTGGCTGTTGCTGTCCTGGAATCTAAAATGTATTTATTCAAAAACACATTTTTAAACTTTGCCTTAACATTTTTTATTTTAAATATCTATTTCTTTTATTAACTTTATTTTTGCAAGGGTGCATCTGCTTTAAGATTTATTATCTAATCTGTAAGTATCATAAAACTGTAATAAGATGATTCTATTTTCTGAGAAAAGTTACAAGAAATAAATAAGTGAATCTACAAAAAATATAAATAATATAAATATAATAATATAAATATTATTATTATAAATATAATATAAATAATAAAAATATAAATGTAATATTTATAAAAAATGTATACTTTACAAAATACATTGTAAAAAAAATAGCATCTTAGCAAGAATAATAAAAATAACTTGTATTAATAAGATTATTAATATTAGTAAGAAATATTAATAATACAAGTATTTCAAAATTATTTTTGTTGCACATAACTTACGCTGTTCATATTAGGTGGTCCCATTCCAGGAGGTGGCCCATATGGACCAGGTCCTGTACCAATAGGCCCATTCATCATGTGTGGTGGTGGCTGAATCAAAATAATTGCTTTTTAAAATCATAATATTATATAGCATAAGTTTGATCTTAAAATATATACAAATTCAACTCACAATTATCGAGAAATTAATTAAAACATACCATTCCTGGAGGTCCCATCAAATTAGGAGGCCCCATGAGATTTGGTGGTCCCATAGGTCCCCAACTAGGATCAAATGGTGGCGGTCCTCGAAACCTTGGTCCTGCTGGGCCAGGTGGACAATTTGGCCTAGGTGGACCCTCAAAGGGAAATCCATTGTTTGCTCCACGAAACATTGGTCCACGTGGTCCAAATCCTCTTCCCCGAAACCTTGGAGGCCCACCGCCCCTCATAGGGAAATCAAACCCACCTCTGCCACGACCCCTTAAATTATTTTTATACGTTGTGACTAGGATATCTTATCATTATATCATGCCACAGAGAGGAAGGGAGATCAGACGTATCTCTCGTATATTTTGAATCTTTCATGAAAAAAAAAAAAAAAAAAAAAAACAAACTCCATTCAACAATATACGAATATCTGATCTGCTCGCTTCAAATACTACTACATTCCTCATAATGTTTCTACAAGATATTGTAATAAAATCTCTTGTAAATAATAACATAATTTCACCCGAATGAAAATTGTCACATGCAAATTCAAGTAAGAATAAAATCCGAGATCTCATTATCAAGATCTTCATAAAAGAACATGATATTTAACAAGATATATATATATATATATATATATATATATATACACACATATATATACATATATTGCGATCAGTCTTTAATCGAGCAGAAACATTACGGTGGGAAGACACCGAAGGAAAGAGAAGCGTGAAGGGAGAGCGTATGATGAGAGGGACATTGGGAGGTAAGGTACAGGGACGAGGCGAGGGTGGGAGGGGGGTGGTAAAAGAGAACATATAAATCTCCGCCCCGAGCTGGTGACTACGAATGAATCCGGTGACCGTGCGATGTCATACGCACCGAAAACCGCCGCGTCCACGCGGCATGAAATGCCTGTAATCGTCCCCTTCGTAACTGTACTCCTCCGTCTCCTCCATTGCCTCGTCATTGTGCTCCTGCTCGTTGCTAGAGACGACGGGCTCGGCCGCGATCGCGGCCGGCTGCTCGCTGCTCGCGTCCATTGACGGGGAGAATTCTTGGAGAAAGATATAGCTTTTATAGAGTCGCGGAACACTAGTTTCACACGCCCATTCGACCTGGATATCGCACACCGTGCTTATCAAGCTTCTTTCTCTCTCTCTTTCTCTCTCTCTCGGCTCTCGCTCGGGAAAAAACGCGCCGCAAACAAATTATTACTATTTTACGCGATGCGAGCTGTAAACAGACTGCTGCCAACGGCGCGACGCGACTATTCCCCTTCGCGACGCGCACGCGCGGTTCTGCGCTCACTTCAGAGCGCTCGAAATGTCAAATGGACCGCGCTCCGAGATCGCATTTCGCGCCCTTATTGAATCATTTCAAATGAGTTATATTATGAAGAAAAATTATTAATGAATTTATACGTAATAGCTGTGTTCGACGTTACACAAATTTTAAATTATTTGATTGATTATTCATGAAGAAAGATGCTGACTTATTTCCGCTCGATGATCGATCAGACGCTTCGAAGCTTTTGTAATGTCAAACGAAATGCGCTCTATAAAGGGCTGCCAATTTACTACAGTGAAAAAGGCGCGAAAAGAGAGAATGTTGATGGAGCATGCAATAGTAGGTAATATCAATATTAAATGTTAAATAAGTATACAGATAAGAAAAAATAATATAAATTATAAATTTGAATATTAAGGAAGTAAAAGAGTGTAAAGGTTTTTAACATCTTTGATATATAAACAAAGGAGAAAAGATAAATAAAGACAGCAGGTTAGAATCAAAACGTGGTATTTGCAATCGAATAATTATAATTGTAAAAGACATAAAACAATTGATTGATAATGTAATCTAATAGATTTCGCTTTAAAAAACGCAGTTTCTAAGCACTATTTATGTATCTATAATAATACACAAAATAGTATATAAAAACAGTGATAGATGCACCAATATCAATCAATTTAATTTTTTTAATTTACTATCCTTATTTTTTGTAAATATTTCTTTAATATATTACACTTATAAGCACAGACAATAATGTAAATTTTCTGAGAGTACATTATTGTATTAAAGCAGTAGGTATCTATCCAATACATATGACTTATATATTGTTTAAGGTTTAAGTAGTCAAATATATTTTTGTTGCTATATTTTTTATTTTATAGAATATTATTAATAATGGCACCAATTTCTAATTATTCTGGCGGAAATCTACTTTCAAGTCCAAGAAATGAAAAACCCCAGAAATTTGAGAGACAGCAAGTACAATATGAAGACTTGACTGCTGATTTCAACGATAAATTAATCGATTTCTCCAAACAATTTTGTCACATATATTCAATAAGACTGGCAGAATTGAGAACAGTATTGATACCACGAGTAATTGCAAAATGGGGTAAGTTTTATGTAATGCACAAAAATATTTTATTTCTATAGAAATAATATATAAAATCTTTATACAAGTGTATATATATATATATATATATATTGTCATGATAATTGTAGATTCAAAATAAAAGACCCAATTTCTCTTGTCTTCAGGAAAAATTCAAATATTAAAGTTGGCGGAATTAGAAGATTTTGAAGGACAAGAATGTGTAATAATTGGTACACTCTATAAACATCAAAAGTGGAAGCCATCAATATTACACGAGTTAAGTGAGGATCATCAACTGACATTATCTGAGCCAAGATCAAATTATTGTTCAGAAAATGATCAACTTTTCTTGGAAGATGAAATGCTACGCATCAAATTAGTAGTAGAAGATGCAGATCTGAAGAATTATGTTACGGGTGTTGTATGTGCCATATTAGGGCATAAAGAAAAAGATGGTACTTTTGTGGTAAGTATAAACTTTTAAAAAATCTCTTGTATACATATATTTTGTGTAATATGTGCAAAGCTAACTTTTTTATGTCTTATTCAGATCAAGGAATGGTGCTTTCCTGGTTGTGTGCCTAAAAGTTCACTGGCACAACCAAAGTCCAAAGGAAAACTGCTATTTTTATCTGGGCTCGACTTGGCAAATAACTCGAAGAGTTTGTCGTTAAGTCTTTTAACAGAATGGATATGCGGTATGGCAGGAAATGCAGCAGCGCAAGAAAATGCTACTGGTGTCATTCAAATTATTATCACTGGTATATATTCATTCTTATATGTCTCTAATTGTAAAACAATTTTGTCTTCATATTTTTTTTACTATTGTCAGGCAATTCTGTCAAGACTGTTACCAAGACAAATACTTTAATGGGACATGCTGAAGGGAAGGCACAAGATGCCGCGATAGCAAAAGAAGTCGTTGTAGCAACGACACTTCTAGACGCATTTCTCGCTGAAATAGCAACATGTTGTTGCATTACCTTAATGCCAGGTCAGCACGATCCTGTCAATGCGATGCTGCCTCAGAAACCACTGCATCCATGTATACTACCGTTAACATCTAGGTATGCAAATATATATACCAATTGTGATATAAATATTTGACTTTAATGAATAGATAATAAGAATTAATAGAAAAAAACAAGATTATAGTTTTAAAGTTAATTAAAAAGTGAATTTCTTTATTATGTAACAAAAAATAATTTAAAAAACCATGTTAATGCTAACTTATATTTAATTACACACATACATTTTTAATATATTTAATTTTAATTAGTTGTCTCAAATTCAATTTTTATGAAACAATAATAAGATGAAATTTAAATGGTATTTAATTACATGAAGTGTATTAAAAGAAGAATTGAGAGACATATAAAAGTAAATTTAATTTTCTACATCAAATTTTATTTATATAAAAGAGCTTTTATAATTATAAATTATTTATTTCTAACTTATAATTGAAATTTAATATGTGTATATAAAACCTTGATTAAAATAATGTATTTTCTAGATTTGAAAGTTTCAAAGGTGCGACTAATCTTGGATCGCCAAAGTCGCTGAACGTGTAATAATGGGTAGCAGTGGTCAACCTATTGAAGATATCGTGAAAGCAACTGATGCAATAGATATTTCTCCTTTAGATTGGCTGGAAAGAACGTTACTTTGGAGACATATGTGTCCCACTGCTCCAGATACATTACCGGTACATCCTTACTCTGTAAAAGATCCATTCATCATCAATCATTGTCCAGATATATACTTTGTGGGTAACACAGATAAAGTTGAAACAAAATTATGGAAGGTAAGTATTATATATTATATCAAAGTAAAATTTGATGAAATTATTTATGCTTTAGTTATTTTAAGAGACATTAACAAACGCATCTGTGTAAAATGCATAATAAATTTCTTCATTTTTAACACTATAATACGTTTTTATTATGCATATTTTGATATTGTTAATGTTTCTAATGTATATATAGTTAAAGGATTAAAAAAGTACATTTAATAATTATAGGTGAAGAAAATCAGACGGTCAGATTAATTTGTATTCCAAAGTTTTCTTCTACAAATCTTGCAGTTATGGTAGACATAGAAACTTTGGATACTGAAACTATTTATTTTGGTACAAGTATCTGAATAAACTTAATTTGAATAGATAAAAATAATTAATATAATGTGACATTTTTGTCAAATCATGATCAAATCATATTTTTGTACTCTCATTATATATTTTATATCTATTAAATAAAATAAAAACAATTTTATATTTTAATATTGATAAATATATTTTAATACACATCCAATCTCATTGTATATTTTTGCAATTATCAAAATTTTTACTCATATGTCTTTGTTTTTTTATTATAATTATAAAAAAAATTATTAAAAGTATAAAATGTGCATATAAATTATAATATATAGATATATATATATATATATATATAAATGAATGCAATTGCACTTGTATGCTGCATAAGTAAAAAATAAGGAACAATTGTTGTTGTCACCTATTTTTATTTGCATCTCGTAAAAGTGATATACAAAATTGAAACACATGCGATTTTTAAGAATTCGTAGACATTTGCCTGGTTATAAAACTTTTAATACGAAAGAAAATACATGTAGTATCACAGACTATTAGAAAATCGCGAAATCACAGTGACACAAGCTTTTCAGTATGAACTTAAATTAACAAGTGAATTTATATTTTATAAATTATGCCAATGATAAGAACATAACAGTCAAAATACAGAGCATTGGTAATTAACTAATACATTTTTAATATTAGCGCATACTTGTTCTATATAATATCTTAAATTCTCACACACTATGTCAAGAATATTTTGTATAATACATAAATTTATACAACTTCTTTTTATAATTTTTATTTTATAGCATTGTCCTTTCTTACCTGTACGATGTACCAGTAATATCTTAAGACACAACTTGGTCATATATGAAAAATAAAACGGAATTCTTAATACTAAAAAAAAAAAAGAAAGAAAATTCATACTCTTAAACTGATTTTGACTGTTACATAAATTACGACATTTGCGAAATTAGGTGCAAGAGTCATATAATAATGGGCAAAATATACAAGGATTTAAATACAAGTTTTCACATAATGATAAAACCATAATTTATATACATTTAAGAGCATCTGTAGTATATTAACATTTTTTCGTAGAATATGCCACACAAATTGGTGTATTTTTTCTTACAAAATAGAAAAAGCACGCGGTATTGGAAGGTACACAGTGCTACAGAACATTTCAATTGGCACTTTTATTCAAAGTGAAGAGCTGTGATTGTAACAAATACAGTTCTGTATCGCTCAACCACTGTCATGAGATTCCACTTCTTTCAGAGAATTATTATTACTACATACTATGTATTTATATAACAGAGAAGGGGAAAAAGATCAGTAATGCAAATATATATCCTAAATATACTATGACGCTCATACAGTTCTAATGCTTTGGCCAAAATAGCAATACTTAAAAAAAGAGCAATAATATAATTAATTAAGGTTCTTTCCATTAATTTAAACAGAATGAAGTTATAAAATTTATATTTATAATACACTTTACAGATTCGTAATACCATTAACTTAAAGTGCAATGTTACATGACCGACAGGTATATATAACAATTGACAGGTAGCTTCTGCATATAGTAACGACGACGTAGACATACTGTACTTATTAAGAGGTTTATATCCTATCTCTTAGCCGTCGGACGTATTCTCTCCTTTTCAGTATCCCTATCGTCAGCTACTGTCCACTCGGGATCATTGGGATCCTCACCATCTAAGTCGCAACAAGCTGATTCGGTTGAATCCGATTCGGGAGAATCCATTTCTCCATCCTAGAAACGTAGAAATATCGATGATTACATACACGACATCACCGGAATCTTCTACATCCACAATTGGTCGTTTTGCAAAAAACTCTATTCAAAGTTGCAAGCTCTCATATAACAACTGCGCGAATCAAGAAGCAAAACTAGTAATCGTATAAAAGAGTCTATAAATACATGGAAAAAAAAATATATATAGAATTGTGTTAATGTAACGCGAATATTTTTGTCGTGTAAAAATTTACTAATTTTGCGTATATACGTGTCTGAATCTGTGTGAGAAATACGCGAAAAATAAAATAAAATGAGAAAATTACGTTATAAAAATATAGGAAGCGTCAAGTGGCACTGCTTACCGGAAATAGCCTCGAGAGGAGCCATGAAAGTTGGCTCAAAGTGTATATTAATAGTCAGTACTACAGCACCCACATACACACATTTTATATAATTCAAATTTTTCAGACTTAGATACTTAATGCGAAAATATATATCAGTACAAGTACAATGTACGTACGTCATCACCCTTGTCTTCGTCACGGGAACATAGAGATGTCGATGAAGCTTGCCAGTGTCCACCAGGCATTACTTCTAACATTTTGTCGTAAACTTCTTCGGATAACGGGAATACTCTTGGCTCATACGGTAAAATCTGTACGAAGAAAGTTTTCATCTATAAAATATTACATTTGTGTTAATATTTATTTATTTAAACAAGATATACTAGATGTCCCAGATTTACTTAGACACCAATAAGTTTAGAGTTATAAACAATTGAAAATAAAGGTTTTTTCGCAAACTAAGCCTTGTGAACATAAAATATTCACAAAACTACATTCTTTAGTTAATTTTAGGTAGAGCTTACTTTAACGGAACTTTAATTTAAAGCTTAATTACAAAGCTACATGACAAAAATTGGGAAGATGCAAAAAAATAATGATCTCCCTCGACATTTTCGCCGAGGAAAAATCGTCTCCAAATAACCCCAAGAATATCCCATTAACGGATGATACGATAAGTCCTGGGACATCTCGTATATATCGTTTATTAGGCGTTACCTCGTTTTCCTCTTCGGTAAATGCGGCCGCGGCATCGTCCTTCCCTAATCTCAAAGTGGGCATGGTACGACGTCTAAGAGAGTTTTGTAAAGCAGACGATCGGTGCGAATCTAAACCCGATGGCTGCTCTGTGTCCTGCACTTGAGACGGAGTGGCAGGTGGAGACGTGAATGGAGATACCACGTCTCCACCAAAGTCACTACTCGCGTGCGGTGACATAGGATCTAAAATGACAAAAAACTTACTTTCTTTAGCGAGAGAATCATTTTAATTGGTCCGATATTAAAAACTATTATTCCAACATTTAAAAAAATACTAAATATTAAAATAATAGTAAATCTCTTAGTTATTTATAATTGTCATTTAGTGATTAAAGTTGATGATGACAGGATGTCTATTTAAATTTTGTAAAAATCTAAAAAATTTTTAAAAATTTCTTGAGAATTTAAAATTTCAAGTATAAAATCAGAAAATTTGTAGAGACAGCTTTTTAAAAGTCTCGTTATTGTATGCTTTTTACGTATACGATTAGAAAATTATCAAAAGTGCAGTTTTTCTAGCATTGAGTTATTAAATGTAAAATTAATATGGACAATAACAAGATGCGATATATAATTATATCTAAATGTTAAAAATATATGCAAAAATATAATATAAAATAGAAAACAAAAATAATTTATTATAAATGTTTTAAGTATTAATTTATTTAAATTAATATTTTTAGTTAATTATTTATTAAATAAATAAGGAGTACTAATTTATTTAAATATTATCTATCAGAAAATTGAATAATTTTTTATAAAATTTACATAAGATCTTGATACTGAAATAGATCGTCAATAAAAAAAATCACATAAAATTTTAATAAAAATTTAAATATTGCACAAATATATTAGACATATGTCTCTTAAGTGCTAAATGAGAGTAAAGTTACAAAAGGGAAATTTTTTTTTTAATTCCCTGAATCTTTAATCAAAAATTCCTCGATTTTTCAAAATAAAATAACATTCCCTTAAGATTCCCTGAGAATACCAATTTTCAAGATTTTTCCCGGGAATATACATTCTAGCTAACATACCTGGCGTGTTCGCACCGCTATCTGCTCTGCTGTCGATACGACGATTGGGACGAATACGTGTTTGATGAGGCATACTGAGGTATGTCATGAAACGTTTATATTCCTCGCGTTCGCTACGCTCGTGTCTCAGGGCGATCGTTTCGTCCGACATGTCTTCGATCTAATAAAATCAATATACGATCGTTAACACAATTACGAAAGAAAATATCACGTTATCGCATTTTACTGAATAGCTTTTTATCGCATATTAACTTTGGTTATTCACTTACATCACTGTCTGGATCAGGCCTGTGCATTACACCATTTTTCACATCCATTTTCGAAAGCTCCTCGCACAGTCTCCACCTTTAACAACAAGAGGAACGTATGATTAATATGATACAATATATATATAATTAAATTAAACAAATAAAAGATGAGCTTGTTTAAAAATCGGAGCAAAACTCGATAAATTATAAATATCTTACTTTGGTGTTAAAATTTCCTTGTATTGTAATTTTTCAGGCCTCGTTGAAGCAGCGACACTGTAGGGGATGACTATATTGTCAATATCATACGAGTTTTGTCGTAGACGCCTGAAATATTAAGATTGTTGTAAAATGTTGTCTTCTTCGAAATATTAAAATAATAATATACATATACATACATATATAAATTTATGTATATATATACACTAATTTCATAGAAAATAAATCGTGTTACATTTTATATTTTCGAGTGCTTGTTTTACAAGTATAGGAATTTTAGCACATGAAATATTAATATAGCAATTTTGTTAACAAAAACAGATTAATGTGAAAATGTTATATAACGCTTACCCATGTGGATTGGAACTTTTTTCTTTAACAGTATTTTTCTCCGAAGAGGCAGTAACATGTTGCAATGGAGAAGGCACTGGGGATGAGTGTTTACTGGAACTTGAGAGCGCGCTAATGTCGTCATCATCCTCAGTTGGCAATTTTGATATTTTTTTCTTGTTTAATCCAGGCACGCTTTTCTCCGAGGGGCCAAGTCTATTTCTTTTACCATTTTTCAACATTTTTCTCTTGATCCCTGTATGAGAAAAAATTATTACGTTATTTCACATCGCGGAGAAACAACAGCTTGATAAAGCGATTCATTCTTTCACTTAGACAAGAATGAAGAAGAATG